TTTTTTCTATTTTTATTCGTCAGCCTCTACTCAATAATTGCGCCAAATACAGTGAGACCGAACTCTCAGTACCATGTGGCTGTGAGCGTACATAAGGCAGCGGAGCCCGTCAGAGTGAAGGTGGGCATACTGAGCAGTGCTTACACAGATTTCAAGACCGTCGAGCTGAGGCCCTACTCAACGCAGCTGCTGCACTTTGAGGTGAACTAAACAACTCTGCTGCTCTTAAAATAGTCAAATATAATAGTTTTCCATTCGCTCTTTCCCACAGTTGCCCGCGCTCAAGTCCGATCGTTATCGGCTGACGGCGGAAGGCCTTAGCGGCATAATCTTTACGAACGAAACACAACTACATTTCGAGCCCAAACAGCATACGGTGCTGGTGCAGACGGACAAGAGCATCTATAAGCCCGGAGATCTGGTGCATTATCGCATACTGCTGCTCGATGCGAATCTCAAGCCCGCGCGGGGCTATGGACGCGTGCACGTTGAGATCCGGGACTCGGGCAACAATCTCATCAGGAGCTATAAGGACATACGTCTGACCAATGCCATCTACTCAAATGAGCTGCAGCTCTCGGACTATCCACGCTTTGGCGATTGGTCCATAATTGTGGACGTGGCCGAGCAGCAGCACAAGCAAACGTTTGAGATCTTGGATCACATCTTGCCCAAGTTTGTGGTGGACATTGAGACGCCACGAAAAGCAATCTATAAGGATGGCAAAATCGCAGCTACAGTGAAAGCGCAGTAAGTGTGACAAGCTCGAAAGATATCCCTTACATTACTTCCTTACTTCGTTAAGGAAATAATGATATGGTAACAATCTGAGATCATTTGACTTTTATCCCAGTTAACTCGATATATAAATGTATTTGCATATATCGATAGATATCGATTGCCAACAGTCTAGCTTGTATATAGAGTGTATAGGAAACCTACTTGTTATCCACACATTTACCTATGTTTCTTTCTTTCTTCTAGCTATGCTTTTGGCCAACCCATTATGGGCGAGGCCACGCTCTCCATTTATCCCACCTTCTTTGGCTCGCTGCAGCCGTTCGTCAACGATTTGATCACCCGCAAGGTAGTGCCCATCGATGGCAGCGCATACTTTGAGTTTGACATTGAGCAGGAGCTGCATCTGAAGCAAGACTATGAGCGACAATATCTATTGGATGCACTGGTCGAGGAGCGCTCCACGGGTTCGGTGCAAAACTATTCCACGGTGCTCACCCTCTACCTGAATCACTTCCGCGTGGAGACAGTCAAGCTGCCCAGCTATTATATACCCGGTGTGCCCTTTGAGGCAACAGTAAGTTAACGAATTGCAATCAGCTAAAATACATAATATAACGATATTATTTGTTTCTACATTGACTATATCTGATAGGCACGCATAGCTCGCAATGATGGCAGCCCCTTGAAAGATTTCGATCCCGCGATCACGGCTTATTTGACAAATGTCTATGGCAGCAGCGAAATGTATAATCGCACCACATATACCCTGGACGGTAGAGGCGAGGTCAAGATGAAGTTCACGGTGCCAGTGGGCGATCGTGATGAGTTCCATTCGATTATTGTGGACTATATGGGCGTTATTAGCGATGTGGGCAAGGTGCCACGCAAACAATTGCACAGCAAGAATTATATCACGGCCAAGGTTCTAAATGACAAGTAAGTACTGAGAGGTAATTTGAATTAATAATAGGTAAAGATCTTAAAGAATTTTATTATTTAAAAATTATTATTATTAATATTTCCTATTCATATTTTCATATCTTTCTCCACATTGTTATGCAAATCTTACAATTTTTTTCCAGACCCATGGTCAATCAGGAAATCGCTGTAGCTGTTCGATCCAACGAGCCCATGAAATATTTCATGTATCAAGTGGTGGGACGTGGTGATATAATACTGACGCGCACTGTAGATGTGAGTGAAGCAAACTAAGTCAATCTAAAGCAATTATTGTATACTCATTGATTTGCTCAACAGGTGGGTGATAATACCTATCATACGATCAAGTTTCTGGCCTCCTTTGCCATGATGCCGCGTGCCAAGCTGTTCGTCTATATGATAGTCAATGGAGAGCTCGTCTACGATGAGCAGATCATTCGATTTGAGGAGAATTTGCTGAATGCAGTAAGTAGAGCGCATATTCATTATAAAATATACTCAAACTAAACTCATCTGTGATAGGTGCAAATCGAAGCGCCCATCCGCGCACCACCTGGCCAGGATATAGACATAAGCATCAGCACCAAGCCCTACTCCTATGTGGGTCTCATGGTTGTTGATCAAAATGCAGCTGCGCTGCGTAGCGGTTAGTTGACTTACTTGAAGTTCCATCTCCTCATGTCTGATCTATTCTCATATCATTCAGGTCACGATCTAACACACGAACGACTCATGGATGCTCTGTATGCCTATGAGCTAAGCGATGTCAACACACCCGTCGGCTCGCCCGGCAAGGAATCTGGTGTCATTATCATGTCCAACACGGATTACATTGTGGATAGAGGTTGATCTAACACCCCACTTAATCTGACACTTTAATTGTAGTATGAGTTCTTATAGAGATCGACACCACACCGGCTATAGGCAGGGATAGCTCCACTACTGTAGAGGAGGATAAACTAACAGCGGTGCGCAAAACAGACATTGGACCCGCCCATAAGATAGAGGTGAACACGTTGCCACCTGGCAAGGGACGCTATGCCTTCTCCTACACACCCAAGCCCTATTGGCACAATCCACGTGTTCATGTCATGCGCGATCCGGCAGACACCTGGCTCTTCCTCAATCTCTCCTCAAGCAGCGATGGCCGCAACACAATACATCGACGCATACCTAGTGACATGACCTCCTGGCTGCTGACGGCCTTCACGCTTGATCCGGTCAATGGTTTGGGTCTGAATACGCCCGTGAGTAAACTGGAGGCCTACAAGGAGTTTTACATAGCCACCGAGCTGCCGTACTCCATACGAAAAGGTGGTGAGCTTGCAGGTGTCTAAATGAACCTTTTCACTATCCCCCATTCATACTTCCAGATGAACTGATTGCCCTGCCGTTTGTGGTGCATAATAACAGAGACAGCGATTTGAGTGTTGATGTGACTTTCTATAACACAGCGCAGGACTTTGACTTTCCCCAGCTGAACATCAACCAGACCAATAAGCCAAGTACGTAAAACACTTGTGTAACATAAAATGCCTTATAATAAGTATTCACATCGTTCAATCATAAAGAGCTGGAGCTCTATAGTCGTCGCACCATTCAGGTGCCTGGAAAGTCGGCTCGCTCGATCTCTTTCATTGTGACACCCCGACGAGTCGGTGCACTGCCCGTAAAAGCTGTGGCAACCACATCACAGGCCGGCGACACCGTCGAACGTACCCTGCTGGTCGAGCATCCTGGGGCTACGGAGCGCGTGAATCGTGGCTTCCTCTTTGAGCTGAACTCCAATGCCCAGCGCAGGCAGAATGTCACCATCAAAGTGCCACGCAATGCGATACCCGACTCAACGAGCATCGAAGTCAGCGCTGTGGGCGATTTGGTGGGCAGCATTGTGGGCAATCTGCAGCAGCTCATCCAGCTGCCAACGGGCTGTGGCGAACAGACCATGGTCAACTTTGTGCCGAATCTAATGGTGCTGCGTTATTTGGGCGTAAGTTTGAAAACAATTGCAATTGAAGAATAGCAGATAATGTAGAGAAATGCCAACAATGAGTTAGTAACAACTTATGAATCAGTATGTTCAACCGAAAGGTTGTCAAATATTTAATTCATTTCTTGGCAAAGTCAGGTCAACAAGTCAGTCAGACAGTCAGCCACTCAATAAATCAGATAACCAATAGATCAATCGACCATGCAATTTCAATAAGTTCCAGTCTAAGACAGTCATCAGATTTTAATCAGATCATAAAACAGTCAGTCAATCAATTAAGGAATCATTCAATTTGCCAGTTTAAAGTATTTCACCAATCAATCAGTATGCCTATCGCGAATTCAATCAAAAAGATGTTGTTGAGCAAACAGACAGTCGGTCACTCAGATAGTCAATCATCGTTTAAAATCCCAATAACTATTGATCAGTCAATCACTTATTTAGATAATCCCTAAATTTGTCAACCCCCATCATCAATCAGTTACTCAGATAGTCAATCAACGCTTATCACTATCCCTGTCAGTCTAGGCTATCATCAATAAGTCAGTCAATAACTCATGCAATTAAGCCTTCCATCAAATAATATTCTTTTCCCACTCTATCAATAAATCGCAGCGCTTGCGTCAACTAACGCCCGAGCTGGAGTTGGCCGCCACAAACAACTTGGCCGTGGGCTATCAGCGCCTGCTCTACTATCGGCACGAGAATGGAGCATTCAGCGCCTTTGGCCTGTCCGCCAAGAAGAGCTCCACATGGCTGACGGCCTATGTGGCCAGATCGTTGCGTCAGGCGGCGCCCTACATTCAGGTGGACGATCATGTGCTGCAGAGCGCCCTGGCCTACTTGGCCAGCGTGCAGTCCGGCAACGGCGGCTACGAGGAGCATGGCGATATCTTTGAGCAGTTCGACGATGGAGGCATAAGTCTAACCGCCTTTGTGACGCTCGCCATGATGGAGAACGTGGTAGGTGGTGTGAGGGAGAGTGTTGAGTATTCCATTTACATCGAATTCTTTTCAGGATCTACATCCTGAGTATCGGAATAACATCAACAAGGCGCTGGACTTTATTACGCGAGGCCTGGACGCGTCCAACAATCTGCATGCCATGGCACTGGGCACCTATGTGCTGTCCCGGGCCAATCACAATGCCAAGGTCGCCTTCCTGCAACGTCTCGACTCGCTGGCCATGAATGCCGACGGACGCAAATGGTGGAATAAGACGGCCCCGGCTGCGGAACAGCAGTCGCCCTGGTACAATGCCACGCGCAGCGTCAACATCGAGATCTCTGCCTACGGTGCATTGGCACTGCTCGAGAACAATCTGGTGGGCGATGCATTGCCCGTGCTCAATTGGCTAATGGATCAACGGAATATATTCGGCGGCTTTGTGGGCTCGCAGGATACGGTTGTGGGTCTGCAGGCCCTGCTCATGTTTGCCGAACGCTTCTCCAGCCAGGGCAACAATGTGCAGTTGGCTTTCAATTACGGAGAGGGTGCTGAGACCATACTGAATGTGAATGCGGAGAATTCGCTGGCGTTGCAGAGTGTGGAGGTGAGATGAAGTTAGTGGAATTTGGCAAACACTTTAACTGATTCCAAATTGAATTGGTCCATTTCACAGCTGCCCAACAACATTAAGAACGTCAGCGTGTCGGCCACTGGGCGTGGCTTAGCGCTGGCTCAGGTTAGCTACAAATACAACACGAATGTGACCAGCGCCTGGCCGAGATTCGTGCTGGATCCCACAGTGAATCGCAATTCCCATGCGGACTACTTGCATTTGTCTGCCTGCGCCAGCTTTGTTTCGGTGCCTGGCGATGCGGAGCGCTCCAACATGGCTGTCATGGAGGTGCAGCTGCCCAGCGGCTTTGTGGTGGACACCGATACGCTGCCCACGCTGGAGTCCAGCGAGCGCATCAAAAAGGTCGAAACACAGCAGCGCAACACCAAGGTCATCATCTACTTTGACTATCTGGACAGGCGAGAGGTCTGTCCCACGTTGCATGCATACAAAACTGTGAAGGTCACCAAGCATCGACCCGTGGCTGTTGTCATGTATGACTACTACGATAGTGGTAAGTTTTGACAATTCTGATGCCGCCATCCACAGCTAATCCCTATTGCCTTCACTCTCCCCTACAGCTCGTCGCGCTCGTCAGTTCTATCGAGCGCCCAAGTCGAATATCTGCGACATCTGTGAGCATGCGAATTGCGGCAACATCTGCGAGAAGGCTGAGAAGCGGGAATCGCGTCGTCCCGATGATTATACGGCCATAGCAGGACGTACCTCAGCTGGCAATGGCCAGAAGGCAATATCCGTGCTGTTGCTGGCACTGAGCATGCTCTCACAACTGCGCTGTTAAAAGGGTGAAGCGGGAGGCGAAATAAACGGAAGCTTTAACAAATACCACTCATCTACTTAATAAGCTAGACCTAGAACAAATGTGAACTAAAACCGATTAATCTTAACGATGCTAAAAGTTGCCAATAATAAAGAAAAAATACGCTAACATCTACTAAACACTACAGTTGTTTCATTTACTACAGATTTTACATAGATAGGTCTATGTATAGTCGGAAAGTAATAGTAAAACGTATTGTTTACAGGTATGCTATAAAAGTTTATTTGAATACCTTCTATATATATATATATATTTTATAAACGAATCCAAAGAATCGATAATTATCGATCATGTTAAAACATTGCACTAAAAACCCTTATACAGACGCATCTATTTCGGATAATGAAAGCTTCCTGAAGAGAAACAAAAATAGGAAACAAATCCTTTAATGTCAATGAAAATGATTTAAATATAAAAAATATAACAAAGTTTCGTTTCAATAAAAATTTTATGTACAATATTTTTCACTATTTCTTTTCTTATTTTTTGAGTGGCTTCAGGGAGTGAACCGTTGAAGACCAGAGCTTTGCTAACTTTTATACCAAAAAGAAACATGTTCAAAGATATTAGTGAAAATTAAAAGTGTAATCGTGGAATGAAACGTACAGAAGTGGAAAAGACCCAGCCAGCACCGAAAGCGAAGAGAATCAAGCGCGATGCGCAACGCGGCTATTGGGCATCCAAAACAGAGTTCGTGCTCACTCTCATCGGCTATGCCATTGGCATTGGCAATGTCTGGCGATTTCCCTACCTCTGTTACCGCAGCGGCGGAGGTAAGCTCCCTACAAATCCCCAAATGGATATATGCATACGTCAATGGGCGTATGGTATGATGCGCTCAAATTTTGTATACTCATACCCATTGATTATTTATGTTAAGGGGTTGTATGCCAGTCGGATTGAGAGGCATCTTCTTTATCTGTGTAGAAATACTGTTTTTCATAAGTGGTATCTCATCGTCAACCGCCAGTTCACTCTCCAGCAATTGATGATGAGTGACTGAGCATTTCAATGAGTCTTCATTGCTCGATTCACTCAGTTGTGGCTCGCGCGCTGCCTCTGTGCTAAAGCTAAAAATAGCGCATGCTCTGACGTCATGCACACTCACTCACGCACACGCTGCACAGTCTTTGTGAGTGTGTGTGTGTGTGTGTTTACAGCGAGTGCAGTGTCTATATTAAGCTCCACAGCAATTGCTGTAGCTTTCGAGTGAAAGCTGAGGTAGCTTTTGTTGCTGTTTTGTCGGCGGCCAGCGGAGGCCTTCGATAGCTCAGTTGGTAGAGCGATGGACTGTAGAGTTTTCGAGGTTGATGAATAAAACAAGGCTGAAATCTATACCTAAACAATACATCTTTGGTCTAGATAACGCAATCTTAATCTTATTACCATCAGTTTGTGGAATCGATATGTTGAAATCCATAGGTCGCTGGTTCAAATCCGGCTCGAAGGATCTTAACTTTTTGGGCTTTTTATTTATTTTTTTTTTTTTAATTTTAGTTTGTTAAATTTTTATTTAATTCACAATGAACTGTAGTAACAATTTCTGTCTTAAAGCAATAATATGTTGACGTCTGATTCGATTTCAGTCTTTCTTGCCACACTCACGCTCTCTCTCTCTATCTCTACCTCGTATTTCGGTATTATTTTATTCTCAGAATAACTTTTCAGAAATAACTTTTCATTTATTCCAGGCGCATTTCTCGTGCCATACATGTTGATGGTGATTCTATGCGGCATTCCTTTATTTTATATGGAAGTGCTGATCGGTCAATTCTCAAGCACCGGCTGTACCAGTATGTTTCGTCTGGCTCCTCTACTGAAGGGCACTGGCATCTGTATGATGATTGTGAATATGTATTGTGTATGCTACTATTCTGTTATCATCTCGTATCCCATACGCATGTTATACTATAGCTGTTGGAAGACAGTGCCCTGGATAAACTGTGAACAGTCGTGGAACTCGAAAAACTGTACAAAGATTGAGGGCGTAAGAGCACGAACGATTCTGGTTCTAATTTATTTTAATTTCATTTATTATTTATTTTTCTTTCATTTCAACAATATAGATGAATAGTACTGCTGAGAACTTCGTTACGCCAGCCGATGAGTTCTTTCAGTAGGTGAATCTGGGCTTTGTCTCTATAGAGGATATCTTCATTTTCATCTTCATTTCAGTCTGGAAGTCTTGCGCATCTCGAGCAGCATTGCTGAACTTGGAACCATAGTGTGGGAGCAGTTGATTTGCTTACTCATCACATGGATCATAGTGTTCGCATGTGTGGTGCGAGGCATAAAATCGGTACGTTATCGATAACTTATCGACACAGTGACACAAACATACATCTAATAACATTGTTGCAACGAGCAGGTGGGCAAGGTGGCTTACTTTACAGCACCGTTTCCCTATATACTGCTGACTATATTGTTCGTTCGTGGCGTCACCTTGCCTGGCGCCGCGACTGGCATCAAGTTCTTTTTCTATCCGGAATGGCATCGCCTGCTCGACTTGCGCGTCTGGTCGGATGCGGCCATACAAATGTTTTTCGGCCTCGGTCCTGGCTGGGGCGGCATCATCAATATGGCCAGCTTCAATCGCTTCCACAACAATGCCAAATTCGATTCCATTTTGGTCGTAATGATCAATGTCTTCACAAGCATTTACGCCGGCGTCGTGGTCTTTTCCGTGTTGGGCTTTTTATCGAGTGAGTTGGAGGTGTATACCTACATACATATGTGTGTATATATTACTGTCTAGGCTCATGTTTGCTTATTGCTAGAAATGTCGGGTAAATCTGTGAAAACGGTGGCTACCTCTGGCGCTGGACTGGCCTTTGTCACATATCCCGAAGCAATTGCCAAGATGCCCATTCCGCAACTTTGGGCTTGTCTGTTCTTCTTAATGCTCTTCCTCCTAGGCATTGATAGTGTGGTGAGTAGAGGTCAATAAATCTAATTGTGCAAATTTGCTCTATTTATATTCCTTCAACTCGAGCTTGGCTTGACTCGCTGAAAATTATATACGAATTTCTAGCCATGATTCCTAGATGTGTAGAGAAATACTATATTCAAGGAATATTTTATCCTACATTAAGCTCGATCAACTAATTTTTCTATTCACTTCCACTTTAGTTTGTTCAACTGGAGGCCATCACAACATCGATTCTGGATGAAATCCAAGCGCTGCGTAAATACAAGGTAATGCTGACCACAGCCCTGTGCATCTTCTCCTTCGGCTGCTCGAGCATAATGTGCACCAATGTGAGTACTTGATGGAGTGGATGTAGAGTAATCAATGACGATTATTATTTGTAGGCCGGCATGTACATATTGCAACTATTCGATTGGTATTCATCGGCTTTGTCGATTATTGTCATTTGCTTGGTGGAGATTTTTATGATTATGTACATCTATGGAATCAATAATTTCTTAACAGACGTCGAGTTCATGCTGGGTAAGCGGCCGAATCTCTTCTGGAAGATTACTTGGAAGTATATAACGCCTATAGTATTAATCGTAAGACCTCTGTTACATAGCTCAGTTTAACACAATAATTATATATCTATAAATTTTTTGATATTTTTAGTTTATTCTGCTGACGAGTATTATATTTTTAAGAGAAATCACGTACAACGGAATTAAGTATCCAAGGTGGGCCGTTGCGCTGGGCTGGCTCAGTTTTGTGTCCTCGATCATATGGATACCGCTGTACGTATTCTATATTATGATCATCAAGCGCAACACGTTGTGCAGTAGCCTAAAACGGCGAATGAGGCCACTGGACTGGACCCCAGCTGATCCGGTAGATCGTGAGGAGTACGAAGCCTTCAGACGGCAACGGAGAGCACCTAAATTTATGACAGAGTCAGAGGCAGAAGGCCCGGCAACAGCTGACAAGTAACAAATCTGTAATATTATTTGTATTTGTATATGCTATAAAGTGTGGTTAAAGAGATTCAAAATTCAAACGTCTTTTTATTACATTGCGAACAAGATTAACAAATGCTTTCAGCTGCAGAATTCACATCAATGCACCTCCTCGGTCACCTCATAGAGCTGATGTGTAATGTCGGCATTGCCCACAACTTCCTCGTATTGCTGGCGATCCTCCATTTCAATGGGATACCAATCGTTGGGTCGACAGGCGCGCCTGAATCGATTGCAAAAGCTGCCCGTGTTTTGGAACATTATCAGGACGCCATAGCCGGGAATGAAGAGCACTGACAGCAACACCACAATCAGGCTCACGGTTACCATAATATCAGAGCTAAATGCATGCTCAAACGAGGAGATAAATATGCCCATGACCTGGGAAAGAAATTAACAGATTATACAAAAATCTTCATTGAATAACTCTCAATTACTAACCAAGGCAAAGAGTAGAAATAGGGGCGCTATAAAGCGCAGTATGAATATCTTCCACGAAGCAAACGGCTCTCCCAGCATGAACTCGATGTCGCGCTGGAAACGCTCACGCCCATAAACCCAAAGAATGGCCAGCAGTAAAATCAAGTGCATCAGGCTGTGAGTCATAATAGCATCCAACGACAATGCCGAAAAGTACTCAGCGCCATTCTATTATAAAGGAGAGAGAATGAGATGGATATATATAAGATCGAAATTAAAAATAAAATATAATATAATAAAAATGTATGAAGGAATTGAATATATTATTGAATACAAAATAATATATTATGTAAAGAAAAAGCTGGTTCTTAAATAACACCAAATTTAAGTTCAACTCTTCGATACTTACAGTAGTGCAAAAGAACAGGGATGCGAGTGACAAACAGCCTAATGTGCCAAAGATAACTTCCTGTTTGCGGTGTCGCAGCATCTCAAATTCATCGAACAGGCTCGTAAATACAGAGAACAGTTGTGTGATCTGTTAGGGG